TTCATGTAATAACCCAACAATACCAGCAGGGAGTTAAAAATCTTATGAAAACAGATAAAATTTTATCGCCGGGAAGAAATCTAAAGACTTCCTAGCAATATTTTTTTTTTGTGGTTAATCAACGAGAAATTATTTAGAGAGAGAGACAAGGTGTCAAATTATTTCGCGATTAGAAAATCCGATTGTTTATCGGCTCTTCATCGAGATTACGAATTCTCGTCGTTATCGTACGAAATCGTATTTGATGCGGTCACGCGAGATAGAGACACACGAGATACAACACGTGTAGAAACTGGAATAAAAACAGTGACGATTTATAGTCCTGGCGTTGGCATTGGATCGCGATAAATGCACGCGTAATTGTCGTGACTCCGCGCGTAATCGTGTGATGCTTGGTAAGAAGGTAAACAAGGTTGGCTGGTGTGTAATTAGCCATCGAGAGGAAAAGGCTAAGGGGGAAGATAAGGGGTAATGTCGTGTGGTTTGTGGGTGGCATTGAGTGTACCGATCAATCACGGTCACGGAAATTTCTGTGACAATAAATTACCGCTCTCTCTCTCTCTCTCTCTCTCTTTCTCTGTCTCTCTGTTTCTCTAATGCTAAGGATTGACTTCTCTTTTCCCTGATTTACATTGCAGAGAAAGAGAATGTGTGTATCGGAGTGTATCAGAGCATAAAATATATAAAAATACATATAAACGGAAATTCAAATGTGCAATCCTTGCTATTTTATATGATCGTCGTAGATGCTTCCCTTGGAGTTTAATTTATCTACTTGATTAAAAAATTTCTTCGAAAATACAACGTTGCAACAAGTACTTTTACATTGAATACCATGCAAATTATCTTACATAGAATTGCAATGCCCGATGGAACTGTGCGAGAAAAGAAAATTTCCAGATTTTTAACGCTTCGTAAAAGGTTACTTGTAAAATATTTCATTACTGCGAGAATAATAAAATGAAAATGTTGCGTTTAAATTGAATTTTAGAGATATTAAATGCAATTTTACGATGGAAGTAGCATCAAACGTACGAAACGTACGTATTCTCTGCCTCGTGTCTGACCATATACCGACCGTATTTACTTAGCGCGTACCGCGAGTAGCTGCGGAAAAATCGCATTTACCTGGACACGGTAAAAAGTACGATGGATACACCGATGTACGAAAAGACCACGCACACCCAAATCTCTTTGCTCAGCGGATTCAGAAAGCTGAACACACCGGGTTTCTGTTTGATGGGCTTCTTGATCATAATACTGATTCCCAGCGACATGAATGGTTTACTGAAGTCGATCACTCGTTCACGTTCAGACGTGATTGTCATCGGGGCAATGGCAATGTCTGCTTCCTGAAAATATATCACATATCGTTAATGGAACAAATAATAATAACGGGTAATATTACTAATATTTTTTTATAATAAATATCATAGTAGTAGCAACGTATTTATTACTATTAAAATTACAATACGATAGAAAATAAATTCGTACAATTATTTCGTGACAATAAACGGTGTACATGAATTTTAATTTTTAACACTCGTCAAACGCGAGTAAAAAGCTCTCGTGTTTCCCTTCTCGTTCTTTCGTAGTTCGCCCACCAGATGTAGTTTCGAAATGTGCCAGACAAAGGCGCGGAGAGCTTGCAAGCTCGAGGCATCTGGTGGACGAGCCTCGAATCTTCTGCCCAAAGATAAAACAGCTCGTTGAACGAGCTTCGCTTCGAGTCGGACCTCGCGATCAATAGTACAATCTTTGTACGTAGTTACATTAAATTGTTCGATCCGCCTGAATGCGCCAACTTGCCGGGATTTTTGTCACGGGAAACGTATCCAGATCGCGATCAACTACGTTCGATTCGTTCTCTGGAACTTACTTTGCGAATCAGCTCGCCGACCATGCCGTCCCAACCACCGGGAACGTCCGAATTTTCCATTCCGTATTTGCCGTCCTTTACTATTCGTAATTCGTCTAAAAGAAAAGAGGGCAGTTTAATACGTATGTTAAATTTATCCAGTATTTTACAGATTGTGAGACTATCGTTCAAATAGTGGGGATCTCTCGACTGTTTGGTTTTAGTTTGGATAGACGCTAGGGAAGAAGGTTCTTGAACTTTTAAGGGCGGGGTGATTCGTGGAACATCACTTTCTTTCTAGTCTTGTTCATAAAAATTGTCACGTTAAAGACAATCGAACCAGGATTCACACGAAGCTTATTATCGATATGATGAAGTTGCTTGATGAAATATTGTACAATTGTATAATAATTGGGAGTGGTCGGAAAAAATAGAAAAGCATTCTTGTAGGTTAATTTAGTTTTAGATTAATTGCCTTGCAAAGAATTCTACAGTACCAAAGTACTAAAAATATGTACCGTGAATATATTGTATATTGTACAAATGTATTAAACATACTTACACGATATTCCCAGTTTCTTAGCTATGAGATCAGCCAGATCTTTGCAATAGCCCTCGTAACTATCATTGCCAGTTAATATCTCTCCAGTGTCTGACTTTTTCTTCATGATATACGGCTCCTCCTGTTATTACAAAATGACAGAAATAAGTAAGTAAGTTTAATCGAGAGAAATTTCCATTTATGCAGTCAATCTCCATTTGATTCACATATACACGTAGTTATAGAAATACACTCTCGTTTAAAAGAGGATTTAACAGTAATTTCACAACTAATAATAAGGTAATAAAAGATGCATTTTTAATAAAATTCTAATCAGCCTGATTATCAATTGATAAAATTGTCAATACATGTATTAACATCTTATACATTTTGTTAGTTATTTTTTTCGTAACAAATCAAGTAAATGCTATTTCTTTTTTTTTTTAAATAGCACAGATTGATTTCTTCCAGAAATTGATTAACTTTTCCTTCTCTGTCTGATTAACTTGCAAGCAATGTGTATATACACGTTGTGCGAGTAGTTTCTTACCACAATGGTAGTGACAATGTAGGTCTTGTTCTTCTCGATTTCGGCGTGCGGTCGAAGTCGAATGTATTTCGCTGCGATGGCTTGGAATCCAGCCTCGTCCGTCCATTCAGCCACCTTGAAAGGTAAATCGTGAATGGTTAATACCTGTTCGGTCGCGTTGCTGTGCCTGTGAGGTTCATGCACAGTCGAGATGTTTGTGCTCGTGCATGTATGGTCGATAGTCGTCGATGTTCGATATCGTCGCGCAAAAGTCATCGAACCGTGGATTCCGTCAAAGAGCAAACAACATAGAACGACGAGAAATTAAAAGGGATTCACGTTGTATCTTTTTTCACGCAACGATTTTCGCCCTCCCCCCTTCCCCTCGTGTTTATTTGTTTTTCCTCTCCTTTCGCTTTTTCACATTGGAAAATTTCGAAACTGTTTCGATTACATTTTGGCCTGGCCAAAAGCTTGCCAGGGGTTCGGGCAAAGTGAGGGGGTGAAAAGCGACGGTACACGCGGCTCGAAAAAAATATTTACTTTGACCATGGCGCTGTTGACCGTCATCTCGACGACATGGAGGGTGTAATTGTGCCTGCGACCGTCATCGTTAAAGCGAATCTCCCCCGTCAGTCCCTCGATCTCCACCTGAAAGTTTAAATGTGGATCGACGCGTTAGCGATCAATTTTGAATATATTCGTTTTGTTTGTTTTTAAATACGAAGCAGCGAGTGTTTGCGAAGGTTGCGTTTTTTAAAAAAAAATCCAATTTTTTTTTATTTTTTTAGTCTCCGAAGTAATGTTTCATTTTTTTTTTTTTTTTTT